TATATATATATATATGTGTATATATATATGTGTATATGTGTATATATATATTTTCACAGTATGTACGTTTAATTTCATTTTTCTTTGAATAGAAACCTGGTTCGGCAAATAGTTTAATTAAACAAAATTGTATTTACATACAGCATGCTACATTTGTATACGTAGCTGCGACAAGTGAACATGCACCAGCCATTTACGTGATGTAATTAGTAAGTGTAAGTGTGCATGACAGTCTTTATGACACAGAAAGCTCAGGTTTACAAACAAGTTGTATCAAAATTTTGTACACGTGCCACATTTTATGTTGCAAAATTAAGCAACAGAAGCTTATGTCTGTTGGGAAAAAGAAAAAAAAAAAAAACGTGTGGGAGACACCACTCAGCAGTTCTGTACTGAACACCTCGTAGGTTCCTGGCTTGATATTGATTTGTTTGTCTGGCTATGGGTTCTTGTTAGCATTGTGATTTAGACACAAGTGACCTTCGGTTGTTGAGTGTCACTGAGACTTTTCCGCACGTGGAGAGAAGAGAATTTCCATTTCAAGGTGAATGGTTAATAACGGTGTTTGGACGTCAACGAGTTCATTGTCATTTGTCACGAGAGATACAACTCTGTTTCTCATATTCTATGAAAGGAATTTGTAATTACACGTCTGTGGTCCAACCTGTTGTCAGAAATGAGTCATGAAACCAATGTGTAACAAAGGCTGGTATGAGTTGACCAAGAGGTGCCTTTTTACTTTTCGATTTGTTTCTGTCTTTTTGAACGGTGCACTAATGTTTTCTGTTTTTTATTTAACTTGGGTCATATGAGACATTAATACTGAAGTTTTTAGTCTAAGACATGGGTTAAAAAGGTGAATATTTGAGTGTATATTCTAAATGTATATTCAACTATCTGGGATCAGTCCTCTTCAGTGACGCTGGAAGGTGGAGAATAGTGCCAGCAACGAGTGTGACACGGGCCAAGTTACGAGGCGAAACTGCGAGGATGACGAGTGCTCTTTAAAAAAGAATGAGCCAGAGTTTGCAAAGCTCAGATTTTTTCTGAGAAAGATCATAATAGACGGGATTAAATATGTGACCGAAGGAGCAGCTGCAGTTGAACAGCGTGGAGAAACAGTGTGAGAAGCCAAAAGTAAACACTTTGATGAATAAGTATGGGTTATATTTTATTAAGAAAATTATAAATATTCTCATGATGAGAGACAGGGTGAAATAGAGGAATAAAACCATGTAGATAAAGAGACTGTCTTGACCACAGTGCCTTACTTCAATATTGATGCAAGTCATCATGCCTTATTGAGATTTCATTATTATGAGTGTGATTACTGAAGATGAATTATTTGCTGTGGTTGCAAAGCACAATGCATTTTATAGAGAGTAGGAAAGGCTAGCAAGCAGAAGGTTATGCCTATATTTTTCCAGAAATTTGTGGTTTATTTTTTATGTCTACATGGAAATGTGATTGTGTCTTTTGGGGTTTGGGAAGCTGTAAAAAAATATCCAACAGTCTGACATTTTATTGATTTTTTTGTAATTCTGTTCCATGTTTTGCCTTTCTGAGAATCACTTGAGAATGTTTATTGCTGACAAAATATATGTGAAATAGGGAAAATAAAAGATTTTGAATGTCTGTACTCGGGTGTGTAAAATATTTTATTTCATGTCATTGTTATTAAGTGTAACATGATACATTCAAGGAAGATGTTAACAGAAACAGGCCTAGACAATTGCAATTGTTGTCCTACAATTGAAAAACATTACTAAATAGCAACATTTATATATAATAAAAATATAAATATAATTCAAATTTTATTTTTATCTAGCTTCTTCTGGATTAAACAACAAACATTGTGTAAATATTAGCATATAGTCGACAATTAATGACATCGTATTAGAAAGTAAAGAAACAGAGTAATACAATAAATAAATACAACTTAAACTCGGAGACATTTAATAGTTCATTATTTTAATGGCAAATTTTAGACTATGCTACTGGCAAGGAAGAATTAAACTTCTTTGGACATGAAAGGAAGTTCCCGAAACACGTCACGTGATCGAAGCGGCATATTTCATTGGTCTACGTTAGCATAGTGTTTATTTCCGGAAGTAAGTTATCAGTGTCAGGTTTTCTATCAGTGCTATCGAACACATCGGTTTAAAACGCGGCGACGACGACAGGTACGAATTACATTAGAGTTAATTCAAAGTATTTAGTCAGTTTCGGTTTTTTTGTCTAACAAATCATATGTTTCGTACGCAGTTTTGACGTTGTAGTCACAGCTACCATTAGCATTTAGCTGCTACTATGCATAGCTTACGTAATAGTCTTTTGTGTTGTGTTCCACGAATATAAATGCGTAATGGAAACATAATTAATGATTACGGAACATAACATTTCGAACGGTGTGGTCATATTTGTGACTCCTTTTTGTTGAAGCCTACCCAGACGTCAGAGATGTGTAGCGTCGTCTTTAGCCAAAATCATCACTTAGCTACCTGGTTAAATATTTATGTTTATTAAAAACCTTACTGATGCGTACACGGGATTCGGGAATGAGTTCATGGTGCAATTTTCTACATTTGTTAAAAGAAACTACATAAGCTAGTTTTCATATTGTTTTTCAATCTCTGTAGGTGTGTCCCTCAAGTCCAGGATGGCACATTGGTTTCACAGAAACCCACTGAAGGCAACAGCGCCCGTGTCTTTTAACTTTTACGGTGTAGCGGGAAGTACCGCTGCTAACAAGATATGCAAGTAAGTCTCGATTTGTCTTCTTGGAATAGACTCACCTTACGGCCTCATTATCGACGACCGCACATTACACAACATTTTTGTTTGATATTCAATGCATCTTCAATACTGGCACTAATATTTTCTTTGCTGCAGTTTTTGCCCAAGCTATTAATCTATCCAATCCAAAATAGTCAGCTCACACGCTGGTCTTGGAATTGTACAAAAAGTAAAATCTTATTAAAATCATATAAACAACGAAAATATAAAACAAGATAGTAACGTTAGTGGCGAGGGAGAGTGTTTCTCAACTATAGGTCATTCACCTATCAGATTCAAAATGCTTTATAAATTCCATTAGGTCAGTTCAGCTTTACGATCTACTCCACCCACGTCAACGGAACAAATAGGTTCAGAGATCAACAGGTTGCAAGGATAGAAGGAAATCAAGGGCATATTTTTACTATACAACATGCTTCGATTTAAGAAATCAGAGACATTGCTCATTTTTTTTTTAAATTTGTGTCTCTTTTTCCTGCTCAAATTGACTTGTTTTCTGCTTAAATAAAAATAATTTGATTGCATTATTATGGACAGGGAGCTAGACAGACCACTTTACTTATGTTCCCCAGACTAAATAAAGGGCTCAGTGTTGTAAATCTCTGCTGAGAATCCTAAGTTGCCCTAAGACCCAGTTCAGTCAAAGAATATATGTTTAAAAATATTATATGATAATATCATCAATCAAATTGCCGAATTTTGGGGCTATCCGGCAACAACTTGAAAAAAGTATTTTATTTTCGGAAATGCTGCTTAGACTCACAAAAACAGACAAACTGAGCAGGCCATAAAATGCAATCCCTACAAAGACATGATGGCACCGCTGTGCCATCCTTCATTAGTCTGAATGCTGTAAAGACCAGTGATGAATGTTCGGTTGATTATTCTTTTCTCACCCAGTGATCTGAGGTCCACCAGGGCACGACTGCTCGAGATGTTCACTGATGTCACCTGCAACCCGGAGATTATGAAAAATGCCTCAGATGCTTATTTCTCCCTCTTGCAAGGTACAGTTTTACACGGCAACTACTTCGTTTGTGTTGGGGTTCTTTAAGAACTTTTTCCCCTTCATTATGGCTCCTAAGTGTAAATCAGGCTCTTTTTTAAATTAGTTTTCATGTCCTAGATTATAATGTTATCTTTACGTTAGCATAGGTGAGTGACATAGGAACATATGTAAAGTATGTGAGTTCCGACTTATGGAAAATCGAGTTGCGCTGATGGAACAGAATTTTCCGACTCAACTCGAGGACCCTCTGTATCTGCATGTACCGCATCACTGCAATACTTTGTACATAACTGAACCATGAGAATCCAGCGCCCAACTAATGTATTTTAACCATAACTATTTTAAATAACATAACATCAGATGTTTTGCTTTTACTAGTACTTATTTAGTTTTTATTTTGCTTTGCAACTAACAACTTGCATTTTGTTTTTCTTTCTTTCTTTTTTTTTATTATTATATTAAAATGACCGTAGGCTTCATTGCATCCCTTGATGGAACTACACAGGAGAACAAGATGAGATTCATCCAGAATTTCAAGTGGACTGACACCTTACAGGGAAACACACCAAGGTATATACTATCGAACACATCGGTTTAAAACGCGGCGACGACGACAGGTACGAATTACATTAGAGTTAATTCAAAGTATTTAGTCAGTTTCGGTTTTTTTGTCTAACAAATCATATGTTTCGTACGCAGTTTTGACGTTGTAGTCACAGCTACCATTAGCATTTAGCTGCTACTATGCATAGCTTACGTAATAGTCTTTTGTGTTGTGTTCCACGAATATAAATGCGTAATGGAAACATAATTAATGATTACGGAACATAACATTTCGAACGGTGTGGTCATATTTGTGACTC